GAAGAAAATAGGAAGGAAGAGCAGTTACATTATCGACACGACGTAGTTGTGGACAACCGATTGCTACTAGTTAGTTCGCACGGCGCTCGTTGGCGCTACGAGCAACCGCCCCGCTTGCTCCCCGATCCCCGCGCCTATTCCGCGATTCAGTGACACGTTGTGTACATATATGAGTATGCAGTGATAAATTGACTTCGGCCGCCTGCGGCCTGATTATATTACTGTTTATTAAACTAGTCTTGCACACACTTCGGTTCACCATTTGATTCTGACACCTGTCAATGTACGGTCTTTTGAGCCATATATGCACCACCAAACCAAACCACCTGTCAATGTAAAAGCAATTAACTCGCCAATCAATTTCCACATAACGGCGAAAGACATGTTTGCAAAAGAAACTGTCACCCATACATTTGCACGTATTTACTACAACGTCTAGTTGTTTTTTTTTGGGAGGTGTATAGAAAATATATATAAAAGGGGTCGTGTGTACGTGAGAGGTCAAAGTTTCATCAAATAATATTGAAGAAATGTTAAAGAGAGTATACAACACAGTAGCTGATGATGCGGTTAGTATAGTTGTCTCAACACATGGATAATGTGTTTGTATGTAACTTTTGTGCATATTTTGTTTTGTATTATTTAACAGGTGCAGTAATTTATAAACATCGCCTGCTGAATATGTGACAGACAGCATGAAATTACTTGTTATTCACTTTTTAAATAGATCTTGAAGAATATTAATTGAATCTTGAGTAACTGAGAATATTATCCTTATTTTTCTAGTTTAATGTGTATATATTGAAACACATAGTTAAACATTCATACAATTATATCTATCCAAAAGGTTTTTGACTGTCATGAAAAAGATGCCTTCTGAAATGTTCCTGGGAAATGGTGGCACTCTCCATCGTTCTTTGATGTTCATATTGAAGCTTGGCTGGCAATCAAGATTTCGCTTACCAGTGCTTTTAGTTATTGTCTTTGTTGCTATGGATTATAGATTACAATTGGAAATTGAATTTGGAAACAATGTCGATCAGCATAATCATATGTGATGAAACCAGATCGAAAGAAAATAAAAGACTATTTATATTCTAAGACGTGTATGTAATATTTACATATAAATATTTAGAAGCATAATTAGAATTGACATAAGATGTATAACATGTATTATCTATTGACATTTGTTGACAGATAATGATGATTGAACATTTTATATGAAATTTTACTCTTACTACTTCTACTAAATATCATTATGTAGGATATTGTTTTACTTAGTGTTAATTGATATTGTCATATATACAGGGTGTCCCAGAATTGGTGTAACATCTCTCGTGAATAAATAGAAGGAGTAAAACTGAGTCAAAAAGTTTTATACAATTTTGCTAGATTTGCAATAGTTACCGAGATCTTAATTAACAAAGATCAGCGAATAAGCATGCATCGGGCTGAATTACTCGCTTAAGACAGCCCAGTGCGCTTCGCGCGCTTACGGTGTTACCTGTAGGAGCATATGGGAGGAGCTAATATAACAGCATATACTATAACATATACATATTAAAATGTAATTGTGCGGAGCGCCGGGCTGTCCTACGCGCGTAAGACAGCCCGATGCACGCTTATTCGCGGATCTTTGTTAATTAAGATTTCGGTAACTATTGCGAATCTAGCAAAATGGTATAGGACTTTTCGACTCAGTTTTATTCCTTCTATCTGCCTACGAGAGATGTTAAACCAATTCTGGGACTCCCTGTATATATATATATATATATTAAACTGATACATGAATATTTCATATTATTAACCCTTACGAAAAAGAACTATTGCCGATTACATATAAATAAAATCAGTAATATAAGTATTATTGACAATCACACAAGAATAGTATTAGATATTACAGGAATCACTGAAAATATTACTGGCAATTACACAGAATGCCAGTAATTCTTTCGTACCACTGCCGCAATATATTACCGCCAGTAATTCTTTTTCGTAAGGGAATATATTATAATAAAGAGAAAAGGAGAGAGAGGAGAGTATAAAAACCTATTGCACTTTGTTTATTTCAAAAATATGTATGTAAAAATTGTGTGTATGTTATATATATATATTTTATGTATTTATACATACTAAAAAAAGATATTTAAAATCATAAAGAAAATATATGAGTACATATGTAAATTACAAACTTAATTTTGTTAAGATAACATAATAAAAAGAGATAAAAATTGAATAGAACGGATATAATAAGATATAAAATAATGAGATCTATTTAGATTTATTTATAGCATGCATATGAAAATCTGTAAAATATATATATATTAATTCTGTTTAAAATACAAGATAAAATGTTAATAAAGTTTTTATAAATGTGTGACAATTTTTTCTATAAGGTGTGTTTATCAGGCAAAAATCAATTTATTCTTATATTTAATTACACATAAGATAAGTGAAATTATTTTATAATTTTATATGTATATTGCATGCATCTCTTTATTCAATATATACATACATGTGTGTTTATCTACACATATATATATATGTATGTATGTATGTATAAAAGTTTATATTGTATTAATGAATAACCAAAGAATCATTATTTTCATATGTATGGTATATAATTTTTGCATGCATCTTTGATTACTTTTATTTAATAATATTAGCACAACACAAGCGCACGCTATTATTTTTTTTAAGAAAAACGACAATTTCTATAGTCAAAAAAGTATTACATTTGTGATCTAATCAATAAAAATACAACTATTTACATTATAAATAAATCAAGTGTTTAATATTTGGCATGCATGCTCTTGGCATTAAGTATGGCTTGTAATCGACTTGGCATCGATTCCATATGTTTTTTTACAATTTCTAAACAAATTTTTTACCATTATAAATGTTTTTTTTTTTCAAATCAATTTTATTATTTATTTGTCTTTTTTGAATCTCCAAATCCAATATATGCCAAAGTTTTTCTATTGAGTTAATATCCAATAATTAGTTATCGTAGTGGTCGTAGAAAGCCGCTCAGACACATTGTGAAGCTACCCTATTCTCTTGTTTTTTGGTTGTGTACTTCAAATCATTGTTTTGTTTAAAACAAAATGTTTCGTATACCCAATTTAGTTGTACTCTGTAATAAGTTATCTCGACAACACATTAATATAAATCTGAGCATTCATCATTGCAAATGCTAAGTTTTCTACTCTGTTCTAATGACACACACCCTTAAATCTACACTAAAGAACCTATTTTATAGTAATATATAATCACTTTGATGTGTAAAGATATTAAAAAAAAAAAGTGTGTTAATACTTTTTGACCTATTGTATAACTGACAATGAGTAAAGCTTCTGAGTATCTAGTTATATAGACAATTATAACATCATTCTTCTCTCTATTCTTTTTAACTGTTTGCTGTAATAATTTCCTTTATCCCGTAACAGTTTGTCACAATTGTATTCTATAATCTGTGTTATAAAAAAACGAGTCACAGTTATTCGGCCTAATTATAGACGAATAGTTTGATCTATTAAAAAATAGTGATCCAATTATGAATAATTATTGTTTTATTGTAACTTAAAAACTTTTTACTATAAGCGCGATTATCTCTCTCTTCTTCACGATGTAGATAGTGATAGATCAATAATTTTCTCACGTCTCTTATGTCTCTCGAAATAAAGAAACGCAACTGGGAATATAAATTGAAGTTCTTGTAGGTGGTTGGAAAAGCCGCGCGATAATCCAACAGAGTCTCATGGAGAAAAAGAATGTTTCTTCTTGTCAGATTACGTCTGTTTCATGAAGAAAAAGTGGTATCACGTGGTTCTACATCCGCGATTTAGAGATACGCTTTGGGAGTGTCGCATCTTCTGCGATGAAGAAACATCGATGGGCAATAAATTTCATTAAGGTTTTGTTCATTTGATGTACTCGGCCGCTTTACGGTGGGGATTCATTCGACTTATATAAGCTGTGCGAATGAAGTTTTTCGGGTTTTCTTTGTTCAGACGATCCGCTGAAAACTAGAATGTCAAGATTTTTGATAATCTTTGGGTTTATTTTTCTGCTCATCTGGTTTTCGTCGCGAACTGACGCGGAATTTGATTCGGAGAGTTTGCGTGAGTGAATGAATAATTGCAAATCGAAAATAGTAAAACAATACGAGTGCCAAACAAGTTTTAACCAAAACTTTGTCATTATATAACACTTCGTAAAATATCGAGATAGTTATATATTAGATTTGCGTGTGCATGTGTTCTTTCTTTTTTGTCTCAATTGTATTTAATGTTTTTTTTACTTTACATACATTTAAGTATTGTAAAAAACAATTATCGCAAAGAGTGCCAATATTTTATAAGATAATGAAGTATAAATATGTACCGACGATTTCAGAGCAAAAATTACTCGCCTTGTTCAGGATTCTTACTTTCATGAATAATAGACCAAAGCAGATGAACGTAGACGCTACTTATGGTGTTACTTTAAGCGAAGGTAAAACAAATTTCTATACACTCTCATATCGCGTCAATTAGAAGTAAGAACAAAAATAAGAAATGCTGATAAATAATTGTATGTCTTTGCAATAAAGTTAGGTATTTGCATTTAGTTTTCCAAGTAGATGACGTGTGTGTATGTATATATATATATATATTTTTTTAAAGAATTTCAGTTGTTTGGTTTAAAATTTTTTAAACTACATGCACACATTTTTTTATATAAATTGTAATATGTAAGATTTAATAATACAGTTCTATTAAAATAGCTAACTTGAAAGCCGCGCTTCTTCATAAGAACGCACAATATTTGGAAAGTAAACTCATCATGGATGTTAAAGATATGGCTATGTTTTCTAATTTCGTTCGAAGAAACTTAATGGACAATGTTATTCCTGCGAACGAATATGAGTATTATTGTAAGTAAATGCTTGATGCACATGCAATAAAAAATCGAAATGTTTATTTCGTTGTTCGAACATATTGTTTAAAGACATTCGTAACAAATAAGTTATCGATTAAGTTTTACAAGATGTAAAAGTTTATAGTGCAATCAACTGTAAATGATCCTGATTTGTGGATAAAATCCATATGGTGGACAAGCATCTTTCCAAGAGGCAGGCTTATTCTCACTTCAGAAATAAACTATTGGACATTCTTTGAGTCGATGTGGCATGGAGCGCCTAATGAAACACAAAGTGATTATTGTATAGTCACAATTATACGTAATAGTAAAGAAAATGGCGAGTGTCAAATTCCTGAGACTTGCAGAGAGATATTGTTGAAAGATGACTGTGCTACGGGATATAGTCTTACACACAGGCTGCTCATGATACAAATAGCTCGAGCGGTAAGATTGCTTGATGAAAGAGTTTAAAATATTTTGTATCGATTTTACAATTTACAAAACATACTGCTTGTGAGGAAGAGAGAAGAAATTAGAACAAAGTTAAAATATTTTTTGTCAACTAACATTAAAAATTACAAAATTGTATATTTTATATTTTATAAAAGACAAGAGATAATATTTTTTTTCTACATTTTCTCTCTTGTTTTTTATTTACATGTATTAATAAATTTTATACAATGCTAAACTGCAGTTTGGATGTCGAGAAGATATACCGGTAACATTTTCCTATTTGATACCTGCATATTGTGCCAGGATTTTTCAACATTTTGTTAGTCTTGAAGCATTAAATTTTCCTCGTATTACACGAGATCTTGTAATTGAACAAAGTAAGCATACACATTTTTTTATCTACAAAGAAAAGCAAAATATAATATTTTTCAGTTAACTACTTTTTTTTTATCTTACTAGTTCTTTTATGTGGCATGGAAGGATATTACGAATTTGTTAATAAACGCTACAAAGATTTAATATTGAGTTGGCAAGACCAAGCTGGTTGTTTTAGCTTGAGGTAAATTTTTATGCATTAGAACAAGTTTTGTTTTAACAATTATTTAGATAACGTAATTATTTTATTATTATTATTATTACAAAATATATTATCTACAAAGTTTTATATATAATAAAGTGTATATTTATATCACACATTTTTATAATTATAATTTTTTAATGATTTTTTAATGATAATATAACTACATATTATATATATTATACGTATTATATATAATCAATTATTAGTTGATATATAGGTTTAGTTTATTTTTATTGTTAAACTTTACAAAAATATCTACGATTAAGTAACAAAAAATATATTGCTCACTTTTCAGATATGATGAAGAACACAAAATTAGTCGACGAGCAGCGTCGATAATCGATTTCGGATGTAATAATCACATGACAGGTCTTGCTGCCGGAGTCCTTGGTTTATTTATTCGACAAGATATAGAAAATGCATTTGTTTGATATTAAACTTTTCTTATTTTACTTGAATACTTTTATAAAATATGTGTTTTTATTGTGCAAATCTAATATTCTTAATTAAAAGTAATTATTTTTATTTCAAATGAGTACAATTTTTAAGACAAACTCAATCATAATCAATAAATATTTATTACACTGTAAAAACTAATTTGACAATGCTTGCAGAATTTTCGAATGTACAACATGTGGAATAGAGAAATAAACAAAAAAATATATAAATATAATTAAAAATACATGTATAATTTACTTATATTAAATAATATTGATCATAAGACGATGCAAATTAAAAACTCGTAATGATACATGAGTATACAATATAGAGATTAATTAATTAACATACATTAATTAGTTTACAAAAATTAGTAGGACAATATATTTTGTGCAATATGTATACATACATTTTGTTTAAATAAAAAACAAATTATTATTTATAATTAATTATATGATAATGTAATTATTTATTTAGTTATATTTTAATTATATATTAATTATATGATAATATTTGCTATTGTTATCTTATATATATTACTATTCTCCGGTCATGTTGACCGGAAAGGCAGTATTTATATTAGTATAGTAGTACAGTTGTTTTTTAACAATTTGCGTTTGTATGATCTAATAAAAACAACAACTTATAACACAAATATATATTACACTATATATATAGCATGAATTAGTTTGTTAATACTTTATTCGTTTTATTCTTCTTTTCAAATTTATTTGTGGATAATAAAATTCCTGCCAATATTATTTAGTTATAATAATATACGAAATAGCGTACTCTAAATACTATTCTTTACTGCATTTGGAATATTTTGTTTTAAACTAAAATATAAATTAATTCATAACATTTGTTTATATTTAAATAATATATTTATTATACAACAATATTTTTATATCTAACAATACTATTTATAGTATATCTACTTATAATAACATATACATACATATATATATATATATATATATATATATATATGTACACACACATATAGTGATAATAAATATATTATCAGATGTAAAAATATCTTCAAATATTTGTTATAATGTTATTAATGTATTAACTTATAATGTTTTAATTTGTACGCGTATTAAACGGGACGTTCTTATAAAACATATAAATTGAAACATTTATCGCGCTTTGGTAAACGTATAAATAGTATGATAGAAAAATATCTTTATGACTTTTTTTATATCACATATATAAATTAATATTTTACAATATGTAAAAAAATATACTTACTCCATGTGACTGTAATTTTATCTTGTATAATAAATGGCACACGAAATGTTGCTTTCTTTTTTGCGTATTTATATGTCCATTATTAATAAAATTAGCACAACATAAAAAATATGTTATACGTCTAAAAAATAAATTATAAAAATCTAAAAAGAAAAAGTTACTAAGTGTTATTAATATAAGTAATGCATTTTTATGATGACAATTAAATTCTATGAAATTTTGTGCGTCATTTTCTGTGTATTATAAATTGGAATTGTAAATGAAATCACACACACACACACACACAATTTTGGTTTCTCTATGCTAAACAATACAGTAAATTGTGCAACATTGTTTGACTAATCGAGATACGAACCATTGATATCTATCCGATTGCAATAGTGTCGTCGTGAGCTAATATATATAGATTGATATGAATAGTAGCTGCAAATGTCACATCGTTCTTGAGCTGAGATATCTGCACAAGAAGATTACTGCACTCATTTACATTCAATTTTATGGTCGTCGATAATTATACGGTTTTCCATAGGGACCTATTCTTCTGTTCATTTTTTCGATTCTTAGTTGATGGAAATAACTGAACACTACCAGCCACATGTAAGTATATACCACTGTAAAAAATAAAATAATGAAGAAGAAACTTCTCTCTCTCTCTCTGTCTTTTTCACTCAATATATATATTTTCACATAAATATTATATAACTTCTGTGAGTCTTTGATAAAAACTGTTTTGATTTTATAAACTTCTTATTGAATTTGATAAAAATGCAGAATTGTTTTACATTTTAAATAAAAACTATTTCATGTTTCTATAGTATTAATTTCTATAGTAGATTAATGTCTGCGAAATTCTTTTGTAAAGATTCTTTTCTACTCACCGACAGCAATTAGACCAAAGACAAGCCAAAGAACACCGTTAAGAACTTCGTGGTTTATGAAAAACATGATTGAGGTATAAAGGACGCTTACAAGAAGACCGACAGCTAACATAATGCCGAGGACTACCCATGGAAGCATCATAAATGTATTTTTCTGTAAATGCAAATCGCTTGAATGTAGTATTACTTTTAGAGGAAGAGCTTATTTTATGTTGATATATTAATAAAAGAACATGTATACATATGTATGTATGTATATTTACTTTTAAAACACCAATTATAAGTAGTGTAGAGATCAGAATGGTCATACAGAGGTTGATTGCGAAGATGATCTTCACGGTAGTTTTGTCTAGAATGTCGATAATTATTGTTTTCCATTCTATGTTCACCGTAAAGATCAGAATCAAAGAAATCACAGCAAGCACCTACATAAAACATCAGATTTGTATATTGACAATTGAGTCATACAAATAAAGAAATATGGAAATAATTGTACTTACGATCCCACATACTCCACTGAAAATTGTTCCCGTTTTCAGGGAACAGTATCTGCAACACGTTTTTAGCTGCATTCTAGAATTAAAAAAAAAATAGTGAAATTATTTTACTGTAATATTAAAAAAAAAGAGCAATATATATTTAGTGTACAACTAAAAAAAGATTAAAAATATAACAATTTTCTTTAATTATTTGTCTCTAGCAGCATCGAACGCTAGAAAAAATATATCTTTCAAAATAATGTAATATTGCTTGTATATTTTTTACGACTATCTTGATCCCGAAGTCCAAATACTATTTACATAATACTATTATAGTCTTGCTACACTTGCGTCTTATCTATCGATGCCGAACGGTAATAAGCTACGTAATAATAGGCGATAATATGATAGAAGCCGCGTTTTTTGTGTATCATAACATCGCAATCTGAGTTGATTTTTATGTCGAGAATAGAGAAAATTCAGGTCATTGGCATGTAAAACCGTCCGCGTTTCATACAGGCGCATCTATTTTAGGCACCTAAGCAAGTCAATTCGCCGTCGCTGACCTTCCTTCCGGTGTTTAATATGTATTTCTCCAGAATGTAGAAAACGCAATATCTACTGATAGATACATCCTTGTGGAATAAACATGCACGTCTACACAGACATGAAGTTTATTAGATGTCTATTGGATGTTCATAATTTTATGTGACAGCTAATGAAGGTTCTATCTAATGTAATCTATAATGAAGATTTGTGTGTGTGTGTGTATGTATAGAATGTTCCGTGTAATGTGATATTTCACGCGTGTTGTAATATTTTTCACGGTTTACCTCAAAACAACCTGCACAAATCTCTAAATAAAATAGAAAACTTTAAAAGAAAAATGCTTTAGTGTTACACATATCAAAACGTGTGATATCATTTTACACGTATAGTCAAGCGTATGTAAAATTTAATAAAATTTAAGACTCAAATTCTCAAAGTTTGTAAAGAAAAAAATTTTATATTGGACTATGTTTCTACTAGAAATTAATTATTTTGAGAGAGAGAGAGAGAGAGAGAGAGAGAGAGAGAGAGAGAGAGAGAGAGAGATTTCAGATTAGATATTTCTCATATATTTTTTTTTATATTAAAAAAAATTACTTTTTAGAGTTGTACAAAAAATTAAATTACTATTATATTCCTTCTAAATAACAGCATTTATTAGTACGTTGTAAACGTATGCGAGTATGTGTGTTTGATCCAAAATGGATGATTGTACGTGAGATTGTGCGCACGTAAAAGATCCACTGTTCAATGCTTCCTTGTCTTTGAAGATCAGGTCAAGATCACCACGGAATTGTATGCGGCTGCACATCGACAAAGATTGTTCGAGGTCTTCCGAGCCATATAAAGAAATATCTCACGGTCTTATGCTGTTCCCGTGAACTTTCCCACTTACTTTAAGCAAAAAGTGACTATGTGCAAATGATGATCGGTCGCTTAAAATTACCTTGTGTATTTCAGCAAATTAATGACTTGACCGGTACTTGAGAAAAAAACGCGAAAGATTTGTATTTCAGTATAATCTACCTTGACCAACTTGATCCATGACGTTAGAAAAAAAAAAAAAAACAGTGATATACGCTTCTTTTATATAGAGCTTTTATTTGTAAAATATTTTTGAGAGTCGAGTGAGATGAGGCAGATTTACCGTGGCATGAAAAGTGAAGTCAATTTAGAACTTGAAACAGAAAAATGTAGAATGACTACAGAACATGGCAGTTGATGTTGATTATCCTATGTTGAACGTGTAGAGTTTCTGGCGCGTTTTGTGCAAGTTCACTTCGACGAGTTGAACCGGTTTTTGACGAAAACTTATTTTATTCGAGAATGTTTTGCATAAATTTTCCCTGGTGATGTCATAATCTACGGCGATTAACGTAAGTGTCTGTCTCTATTCCGTTGCAAAGGATACGACATATAAAATGTTAAACTAGTAAAAGGGGATGTGTGTGTGTCGTTTTATATATAAAAAGTTTTAAACCTACATGCGAACTATATGTTATAGATATTTTTTTAGAAAGAATAATGAATATTCTATGCACAATTCGTAGATGCGATCTGAAAGAATGCAATATGCGTTGGTGAACGCACAATTCTATCAGATTCACGCAAAAAGCAATTGCGTCACTTATACAAGAAATCGCTGTGAAGCTCTGACAATCCTTTTCAACAAAAAGATAATCATTAAATGTTGATACAGCCGTTTATTTTGAGTTGACTCGCAATAAATGTGTTGTATAATCTATTAAAATAACTTATTACCACTAACAAGTTAACGAGGAAAAAATAATATACATTACATAATTAATTATTATAGAAATTTATTGATATGGCCAAAATAAATACTATTTTGAGTATTAAAATCACTGTTAAACAGTGCTTTTATGCCTTTTACTCAAAATAAGTATTATTTTGGCCACATCAATAATAAATTTCTAATAAAAATGATATACTTAATGTTTAAATACATATTATACATAGAATTACGCGCGAGCTTTTTATTTATTAAAAAATGATAAATTAATATACTTTAAGTACAATATCTATTAAGTAATTTTTAAATTTTCCGCTTTTATTTTCAGTTCTGTAAATTTTTCTCTACTTCGGAAAATAATAGTTTTTAACAAGTGCGACATATAATGAAGCTCATCTTCGTTTTCAAGCGATCCGCGAGATATGTAGCAAACGCGATGTCAAATGTTTAGAAATATATAATATAAACTCGTGAACATTATACGTAACAAAAGATAACAAAAAATTGTTGAAATAATATCGTGGATTGGATTGACACGCGGAATTGATGTTAAATTTAGGCGGTGAGTAAGAGCCGCACGCGCAAAAAACGTTGGGTAAAAATACGCAATACTACTGAATAGGATCGTCAAATAAAATGGTATCGGTTTTCTTGACCCAGATATAGCAATTAGTCAGAAAAGAATAAGAAAGAAAAAAGAGAGACCACACCTTGTGTATATAGATATTTCGCGTGTGGGATATTCAATTAATATAGAAAGGGATGTGTAGGAGAAGCAAAAAAAAGAAATCGATATGATTAATGTTAGTTCATCTCTTCCTTAAAGTTTTTTTAAACAATAATATCGAATAATTCATCGATGTACTTTAGTTTTGATTTTTCAAGTCACTGTGTGTGCTTTTGAAATTATCTTTCTCTTCAATTACCAATGCATCTCTTGTCTGAATGTTGGTAATTACTTTTTTAATATAAAACAAATTGTGTTTATGCTAACATAAAACATTAATTATAAATCGAGAACATTAACGTGCGTTTGAGTACTAACTACTTTATATACAGGGTGTCCCAGAATTGGTTTAACATCGCTCGTAGGCAGGTAGAAGGAATAAAACTGAGGTGAAAAGTCTTATACCATTTTGCTAGATTCGCAATAGTTACCGAGATTTTAATTAACAAAGATCCGCGAATAAGCGTGCATCGGGCTGTCTTACGCGCGTAGGACANGCCCGATGCATGCTTATTCGCGGATCTTTGTTAATTAAAATCTCAGTAACTATTGCGAATCTAGCAAAATGGTATAGGACTTTTCACCTCAGTTTTATTCCTTCTACCTGCCTACGAGCGATGTTAAACCAATTCTGGGACACCCTGTATATAAATTCTATTAGACTATCTTTCTCTCGTGAATTAAAGAGTTAATTACATCAGTCATCGAATTCCGCAAAACGCAAAAATCATCTCGTGTTATTGTTTACAAATGCAAAGATTGTCATTGTCAAATAATTCTCAAAAAAAGAATTATATGTACACAATTTTATATGTATACACATGTTATAGTGCGATTACGTGACAATTTGCAGTATTTTTTCTATTTTGCGATTATTTGAAGAGTTGGTGTAATTGAATGTGTAAAACATTCAATGTGAGAAGTCTTTCTTTTTCCAAATGATAAATAAATGACAAATCACGTCATAGGCTATTACAGTAAAATGCTATGAGAAATAATGAATCGATTACATCACTATTCAAGTCACCTTATTTACGACTCAATATCCTACTGTACCTTTGCCATTAACAATCTAGCATTCACTTTAGATCTCAGCTGTCTATAATCAAAAAATAAAAAACTACATCTCGGGAATGAAACCTCGTTGAACACTTCTATCTTTCAAACGGAACAGCTTAACGCTAATAATATTTGAGAGAACCGCGAAAAAAGTGTCGTGAAGATTCGCTATCACTTCTCGCGGTTTTCGTACTCACTTATTTATGGAGCGCGCGCACTCTTTTTGCGAGATAGATCGCACAGGTGCACTGTCCTGCGTGACGTTCTGGGATATTGCGCGAGTCTGGACGGGACGGGATGCGGAGAAAATTGCAGAGGTCCAGCTCTTCTTGCGCGCGTGTTCTGCTCGCAATAAGAGATGACCAGAAACTGTGCCAAGAACAGTACGCAGCGACCGCGCGCCGAACCACGATGGTATACACCTACGTTGACGGCCTACATCGTAACCGACACACACACACACACACGCTCTCTCAATACGTGTGTATCTGTGTGTTTTATACGTAATGCCTTGTGTGCGGTACCGCAACGACAACCTTACGCGAACGGCATATATCGCGATGCCGCGAGAGGAGAGCGGCGGGTCTGTCTCAAAGATCGTTTTTTTGCATAAATCGCGTTTGTAGGATCTTACGAGCGCTGTTGGAGCACTCGTGATAAGTGAGTGTAACCGCTTCGCGTTTGATCTTCGTCCGTGACGCGTGTTCGTTTCGACGGGAAAGTCGTATTTTGCGTCGCAAGATGCGCGACTTTTCTTGGCGTCACGTTTAAACTCGCGCACAGTTCCACGGTCGTTAACTCTAAATAGCAGAGGAGAGAGACTAGCTTCAAAAGCGCATCAGAATAAAATTTAACACAGACTTCCACTTCTAATTTATAAATAAGCGGTTAAAATATATATATATATATATACATATTGAAAGATTATATTGTCGTTTATATTATTTAAAGCAAAATAATTTAGAGTAAATAGAACCTGAAGAGAACAAAATAGAAATATAAGTTTTCAAGCATGTACAATAAAATTATTTTTGTTTTTTAGAACTGAGCACACAAGAGTTAAGATGTTTGAAGATATTCAGTTCACTTCCAATTTTTATTGTTGCACATATATATATATTCTTCCTATATCTGTACATAAAAGTGCTATAAAAATGTTTATACAGAGCCACAAAAATGAAATATAATCGACAAAAATTAAATTAAAATGAAGAAAAATATAAAGTAACTGACAGACTTGAAAAAAAGTTGAAGTTAGATAGTTGTATTAACCCGCTATAAGTAAGACGCATAAAAAGCGTAAATTAACGCGAATAACACGTGTCTTTCACGTCTGTCACAATTGCGAACACGATTTACATAAAAAATCTTAACACTTATGTATATATTGGCGCTACGCAATAATTCCGTGATAGATTTATAAAAAAAAGAAACCAAAACACGATGTCTAAGAACTGCATTAATGTTTGTTAGATTGCGTTGAGTGACCTCGAGATAACATCGCAAGAGATGAACCGGTTGACATTGCCACTATATTTGCACGCATAGGTAATGAGCGCGGTCTTACATACAAGCACGATGGAATCCTACGTATCTCTGAAATAAAACATTCGTTCGCGACGTTGTCGCAGTGCAAATAGACTTTCTCTCTACATGTGCTCAGATACATGCAAATGTAATACAAACGTATTATATTCGTAGCGAGTGTGAAAATAGAGTCGTTCTTGTCACACAGGCGCAAAGTCAAGAGTAATAATTACAATAATTGAGTTTAATTCAACGCAGCTATCTAGTTTACTCAATCGAGAAATTAAGATCTGCTGCACAATTTTTTACAAAATATTTTTAAAAGAGAGATGTTACAAGTAACTTTAATTTTTTTGAAAAAAAAACTTGTTAAAAATAAAAATTTTTGTTGTTTACTTTATAAAAATTTATAAATGTACAAATAATATAATTTAAAAAAACGTAATCTATATTGTGACATTTTCAGGAACTAAAAAATAACGAACTGAATAATTCGTGTTTATAACTCACAATGTGATTACTCTTTTGCACCATTATTATTACATGCATTTGAGGTACTTGTCAGACACTATTAATTTTTCTCTTCTTATATTAAGCAGTTGATATTTTATTTTATATATTATTTTCACACACATTATTTTCACATGTATTTTTGAGTCCGTTTGAGACATATAAACAGATTCAATAGATAGTTTTGATATAACATAATACAGAACATTTGCAAAATTTCAGGCGCAAATCACATTTGTTAATTAACATAGCAAAATATAATTATTTTAGTTTGTTTTCATATCGTTTCTCATAAATTTTTAATAACAAATTTGAGCCAAAAATACTTACAATTTTAAATCAATATATTTTGTGTATACATATATGTATATATGTATACTTGTAATATAATTTTTACTAAAAAAAAACGAAGAAAAAACAAAACATTCGAAACGTTATACATTATTAATGGCGAAATGTGCAGCAGTTGTCCTGTCTACTTAACCTGTCAGATCAAATAAACTTTTATTACATGAATTTTTATCAAACAAATTCAAAATTCTAATGTTCCATCAAGAATGACAATAAAGACGAAAGATAAATTCAGGATTGAAGCTCGACTTGGATTTCTGGCTTTACCATGTCTAGACTGGGCACATATCTGTCAGCGTGTCTTGAATGGCAGATAATATTGATAAACGTCTTAGGCATAGCAAGTTTTAAAGTAAAAATTATAAAATAAAAAATCTCTTAATTATTTTATATAATAATTATAAACTTCTATAAAAATTGTAAAAGTTATTTTAGAGCATATATATATTTTATGATATGTAAAATTTTACTATAACGACTTCCAAAACATCTTGAATAAAACTTATATATTTAATATATATATATATTGCAATTTTGTTTTTTACTTATAAAATATAAATTTAGTTATATATGTTATTGTGAATACTTGTACGTTTATAATGTCCCTTATTGCGTTGGTATCACGTTGACCAGATCTGTATTATTTAGAACTGGTATCGGGAACGGGAAAAATCGGAGGTGGAAAACATTTCTAACTTGCAACTTCTACAATACGACGGAAAGGACAGCTGGTATAAAACAAGTTAGTATTTTATCTTTTATATATATATATATTCGAAAAACATATATATCTAGTTTTTATTATAGCTTGATAAACTGTACTTGACCTTTTTTTGATGATACAAGTAAAAATGAAAGTAATATCTCCTTAGTTCTGTTGTGGATTACCAATGTTCGCTTTGTCATTGATCGCATTAAAATTTTCGCGTGTGCAAGCAATATCGTCACGATATTCGCGCAAAGCTGGCGATATTTGCTCATACCATGGATGTTATTAAGTTTTATTCAAGATGTTTTGGAAATCGTTATTATTGTCACCATGTCTTTGTTGTGGTACGAGAAAAACGTTCCAACATTGAAATTCGTTGAGTTTATCGTAGAGAAACTCGTCTGGATTGGTAAGTAAGAAGAAACTGAACTACATAATATGTGGTCGAAAAACAAATGTAGTCACAACATTCGTAAGTGTTAAAAGATTATGTCTCTTTAATCATGAAAATTATCTAATTTGCTTCTTAGTCATTTCATCTTACGAATGGTACACAACTCTCAAGTGGTACATGCAGTTGCGAAAAGCGGAGAAATTACGCAAGTTGACAATAATCGCGCGAAGAAGCATAGCGGATATTTTCCAAGTTCCCGGAAGAGTTGGTCACTCGCTGGATGATGAATTGCTTGCTATAGCGGAGGCCAGACGAGACAGATACGCAAGTACGGCGAGTTTGTTGAACTTGAACTCACTTTCTATGGAGTCTAGTAGAGGAAACTTTGAATTACGAGTTTCCAAGTCGTTGTCGACAAAAATCTCTGACAACAGTCGTGAGTCGAACAATTCCAAAGATTCTGTCGCCAATAACTTAAGCGCGGCTGAAAAGTCGATGAAGATGCTAAACGTAACTGCAGAGGACGTGATGGACGCGCGCGCCAGGATACAAGAGAAGTCGTTCTACTGGAGCGAACAAAATGTATCTCAGAAAATGTTCGAAGCGATGGAGGAAGTTATCTTAGAACAAGAAAAAGAAGAGATAAATAATGAATTCATGAAAAATGAACAAATTGCAACGAACAATAGAAAAGAAGCAACGAACAGTACTTCAAGAAAGGAAGTTAATGTGAAAAATTCTTTGACAGAGAAAGATGACAGGAAAAAAACTCTAATTGAGAAAAAGAAAGCAAAAAAAACTGAAACAAAATATCAATGCAATCAAAACGCAATGTTACAAGGGACAAAAATAGAGAATTCAGAGATAGCTGAAAAATTTGTGCAATGTCCTTCAAAGAATGAAAAAAACATGAATTTCCAGCTCTCTACTTCTCTTGTGAAGAAAACAGAAGCAAAACTGGACTCTAATTCTGCAAGTCGTGAGAAGTGGATTGATTTGAATAATCAGAAAGAACATTCTCGTGACGTCGAGACTAAGAAGTTAACGCCAACTGATTCGAACAATGATAGAAAAGAAAAACGATACAAAGATTTGAGAATGTCATCGTGCGAATTTCATCGTGCTATGTACACAAACGGAAGCTGCATTGGATCTGCAGCCGATGACAATGTTAAAGATGTCAAAGATGATGTCGACAAGAAAGAAGCCAAGCGTTTTGTATCTTGTGTTAATACACAAAGAAGAGAAAAGCTGAATGGACATTCGCGTTTGAATTATTCTGAGATATACCGATTGAAAAAACAGATTCAGAAATCGAACGAATCGTGCGGAAAGCAACCGAATACTTGGGGAAGTAAATCCTTAGCTGAGACCGCACGTCCTTCGGGATACGCAAAGCATTTCGTCGCGACTGATAGATCTCGATTTATTTGTCAAAATGCTCAGACTGAAATATTCGATAAATCTGATGATTCTTCAAATGTACGGTCAAAAATGAAACAAATCGGACGAATAGAAAACAACCGATCGGTCGAATTGCACTCCGTTTACAATAGAATATCGCTAAAAAGAAAGAATTATGTAAAATCTGAAGAACACGAGGCAGAGCTTTTAATATCTGACAATAATCTTGCCTTATTGAAGGATAAAAAAGCGAGAAAAAAACGCGTTTTATCACCGAAAAAATTATCGATCGAGAAATGCGAAGCGATAGAGCGGACAGCTTTACGAGCTTACAATGAACTAACTTTATTGGAAGATAAAAAAAGACTGGAAACAAAAAAAAAACGTGATTTAAATTGCGAACAATCGATGGAAAAACTAAACGCACCGGAGAGACAAGTTTATGAAGATCTTATTTTGCTGCGCGATAACCAAGAGATGGAAACGATAAAGAGACATAATTTGTCGCCAAGCTGCGAACAATCCAACAAAGAATCGATCGCTTCACAATTTCGTGATGAACTAACGTTTTTAGCAGATAAAAAAGAGGAGAGCGGAACATTGTCGAACTCTGAAGAAAATGTTAAAGTCTCAACTGGAACTAATCAACATTTTCCAGAAAGTAATCACGAAGAAAATGTGAATTGTTCTTCATTGGAAACGCATGAAAACGCAAACAGTTTAGAGGAAAACGATCGTGTTGCAAGACGACGACACAGACTAAATCTCAGAGAGATCACAAGAAACATTGAGTGGACTGTTCATCCCGAAGGAATTGTGCTAGCAAACAAAAACTTGCGCAGTCAGGTATCAAACGAGAGACTTCGCGAAAGACAACGCGACATTGTCGACGACAATACTGCCAGCATGTTGCACAGTGCTTTTTTCTTCAAGCCTGAGATCATAACGAGGATTTTCCGGCACGCTCAATCAACAACTAACGAGTCTTTCTCGACCGTCGCACTGCGGCGACGACAAGACTTGAGCACGAATTTTGTCTGTCGGGTGAATAACGAGGTTATTGTGCGAGATCAGAATACGCTGTTCGGTCTTGATTTTGACCAGATGATGGGACGAAATGACGGTCTTGGATGTTTATTGTTTTCAAATGTCGATATCGATAATGACAACGCCGATAATAATCGTGTTACTGGAGAGGAAAGTAGTCGAAATTCATATGCAATATCCATCGAGCTGGAACAGATCGTTCCTGAATCGGATATAATTGTAAGTACAGAAAACTCGGAGGTCGAACCTCAAGAAGATATTCTAACAGCGAGTAATTTAGTTCAATTTGACGTTTTTGAAGAAGAAAACGTAGTTATCAATAACTCGCCATTTCAATTTGTTACTGATATATCAAGGAATATCGATGTTGAAGAAAATTTTCTTGGTTGTACATCGAGTGAACAACTTGATGATCGTGAAATGAACAACGTGATTTTAGACTATGATTTTCGGCCTGAAAATTTCAGTACAAATGATACAATTTCTAACGAAGAAAATGATACTAAACGTGATAGAAGTTTGTTAGATCGAAGTGCGAATATCGACGAAATAATCGATGATTTAAGTAAACAAGTTTTAGATTCAAGTAATGATCATTCGGATGATAATACATCATCTGTTAACTCAATAGAACAAAATAATCTTCATCTTAGGTCGCTAGATGACAAATATTTAAATAAAACCAATTTTCATTTTGAAAATAACACATATAAAAACAATTTGTTCCACAAAAGATCTGATAATAATGCAACATTGCAATTATCAGATAATAATCATACTAACAATAACAACAATAACAACGACAACAATACTCTACTTAATACGCCAATCAATAAAGCCAAAATAAGTATGTTTAATCATAACCTTGAGAAATCTTCGAAGTTATCTTTTTCCCATCCGTCATCCTTTATTGAATCAAATTGCCTTGCATCAATAGTGAGATCGAGCGACGAAAATCTTCAAAAACCGACGCAACTTTTAAATAACAAAGTTATGATAAAAAATGAAAACAGCAGGTCAATAAATTCAGAAGCAAATGACGATGCAAATTTACAATTTTGGACACTTGATAATGTGAAGTTTGCAACAGAGACACGAGATGTTGCAAGAAGTGAAAATAAAGTTACAGATTTTTATGAAACAACGAAAGAAATCCCGGCGACTGGATTTTTCGAAATGAATTCAGAACAACTAATGCAAGATGACAGTTTTTATTCTACGTACGAGAAAGACGACAAGTCAGAAACTCAGATTTTATGGGAAGAAGGCAGTTTAATGGAAGAGTTTTCAGACGATACTATACCGCCTGGAATGTCCTCTTTTTTATAGACTTCAACAGTTTGATACAATCTTATTCTTAGCTTATATTCATCAATATTCAAGTTTTAAATATTTACATGTAACATGTCATGTCTGATAAAAAGAGGTCATATCTATGATACAAATTATATATCATATCTATATAATTTTTATAAATGATTATTATAAATTAACCGCATCTACGTACAAAAATGCACTACTTTTATATAGTAATTTTATTCTAATCAGATTTTTTTACAAACATAAAAATATACATATATTATATACATAATGCTAAAAATATGCTAAAAATGTCACTTAAATAATAAAGTATTATTTACTTTGTCAGGAGGCTTACAAAAATAAAAATATTAAATCAACTATATTTTGTATTATTATTTTTAAAAATCTTTGTTTATTGCACTTCTTTTAACGTTACATATTGTCTTATTAACACAATCAGCGATATGATAATAAATACATTTAAAATAAGAAATATAGAAAGAGATTTGTATGAAAAAAGTTCAATATTTTATGTTTTATTGCTTAGACATGAAAGATATTTCTGATCATATCGAAAAAGTCATCATCAACTTATCCATCGAATGTTAATTTAAAAGATGAAAAAAGAATTTTTAACATGTATCATCGAGGTTCGGATCCGAGTCTGGAACTACATAATTAGGATCGCAGACGGTGTCTCTGACGGCCTCTTTGACATTTGCCTTGAATACTCTGTAATTAATACTTCCACTGTTCAAAGTTCCGTACAGATACATCGGCAATCGATTCGAGATCAGCCACACACTCTGTTCCGCTTCGTGATCCACTTTAATATCATTTGGAAACACCAGCGACACGTTACTGGTTCCAATCACTCCAAGATTCTGCGGAATATACTCTTTCCTGGTGTCCCAGCACCACACAGAGTCCCTAGTGACCATGTTGAAGAACATCACACCGTTTCTATCGATTGCCGATCCGGAAGAATGACCATAGTCCTTGGCCCTTGGTTTTCCGACAGGCATAAACTTCTCCGAGTTACGATCCACGGTTCTCTTATCCCTGAAAACCGACGTGGACACGGCAAACTCCCGGAAACTGGACATTGGATGAAAGAACAGCGTTCTGTCATTGTAAATGTCCACGGGACTGAGCGCGATTCCAAATATTCCGTCGGTCCACTGGAACTTTGTACTATGTAATTCGTATCTAGTCGCCAGTGGATCGGGATAGAAGAAGGGATGCTCGACTCTAAAAGTGGAGTCTTTGAAGAAATCGTATACCACGATACCGAATCGCCAGACGTCAGTCAGATAGGCTATTGCTGAGCTGCAATCGTTGTTTCTAATATCTATTGCGATGTTGATGTACAAAGAGTCTTGTTTGATCTGTTCGTTCGGTAAGGTGTACTTCCGGATGAGGGTGTCAGTGCGCAAATTGAAGATGAATATGGCGGGTGGACAGACTTGTTTGGATCTATTGGCGAGCTCCGTCTTGCCGGAATCGAGGATCCACAGCCGATTGCATTCATCAACTTGGACTCGAAAGACTGACGTTAATCCTTCGCAGTTTCCTAAAACAGTGTGTACAAAGATACATACATAAAATATGCTATTCTTTTATAATATTTAACTGCATTTAAGTGCGTAAGTTTATAATAAATATACGTCATAAATATTGCAAAAAATTCTATATATATATTATTAGTTGAATGCAAAAGACAATATATCTTAAAATATTTTAAACTTTTCGTATTTAGCGCTTTGATTTATTTTTATTATTTGTAACTATTATTTTTATATAAAAAAATTGCGTTCACTCTGCATTAATAGAGCAGTTTTGTTTATTTGAATCAGTGAACAGGAAATAATAAGACGAATTTATTTTATCATTGCGAGACAATTCATGAGAAACCTATTTACTCAGTTTCTACACTTTCCCGATTGCGTGAAAACGATTGCGTACTGCTTTTTCTGATATTCCCGGTACTCTTAATACTTCTACATTGTTTGATGAGAAACTGATTTCAATATCTTCTAAAGCGGAAGATCGGACGATCATTTATCGAACAAAATAAGAAAAATCTTTATATATTTACTTATTTACTTACTTTATTTTCATCATATTTCATTAGACATAAAACATATCCAATTTAAATCTAAATATATTTATAAAAAAAGTTATAGAATTTTTTACAAGAGATATGATAATTAATTAACAAAAACACCAAAGAAAAAAATACCTGCTTGATGCCATTGCCAGTTAGGATACGGTTTCAATTTGGGACTCTTTGTTTTCGAATATCTTGGAACAGTAGCCAGGGTCACTGGTATACCAGATCTCCATTTTGGTAAAGTGATAAAAACTTTGTCACGCCAAACGTCTAGGCCTAAAGGTAAATTATTTTCCGCTACGTAATCACCTTCGAATATGGCATTGTCTCGTGCATCGATAGTCTCAAACTCAAAATCAATTGTGGACCAAGCATATATCTGTTAAAAATGATAACGATAAATTAATTTAAAATAATATAATTAAGGAACAAAACTATTTACAATTGATGATATTATAGCTATTTTAAATTATAATTATATCGCGTAAAGTAACACAACAAATATTAATATTAATGTTAATTAAAAATATTATTAAAATTATAATTAAAAAATTTTATTATTTAATAAAAGAATGATAAAAATTTATATACATTAATAGTAGCTTAAATGTGAATTGACAAACTTCTTCGAATGTATCTTATTTTTGATACACGTTTAATACAAGATTGCTGATGTATATTTACATATTGCGAAACACACTGCGAGAACATTTTTGTCTTTGACGTTTTAACAAAAAGTGTTACTTACAAGTTCCATAGCAGGTCCCACATAATCATTTACAATGTATCCCGGCTTCAAAACATCGCCGAAACCATGAAAGTCCAGTTGATTGATTGAATGAGGATCCGTGTGAAATATGTCAATAGCTCTTGCAGTAGGTCTCAAATTATCGCTTCTTCCCAAGTTGGATATAGCAACATGATGTCGCGATAGCGATCCGTAAATATTGCCTACATTTGTGGATGAGGTTGATTTTTTCTCCAGTGGATTTTCATGAGAATCACAATTTTTTGTGCCAGTATGTGCGTAAGATGATACAGGACCTTTGTAATTGACAGTCTGTCGATTATATAACATTTTATAAGATATATCACATTTTATATATATGTTATAAAAATCGTGTAATTTTCTTTAATATAGAGATATTTCAATTTTTAATAATTTTGGATTTAATTTTATTTTATTTACAGCGTTTTGCTTACGTGTATCGAAGAAAATTGTGAACTAGAAATAGACGGAGTTAATGGCAACGCAGGTGCTTGAAGTTCTCTGGATAAGATACTGGGACCTGTTTGAGCGGCAAATTTTGGAGCACTCAAGAGCAACATTGACACCAGCCATGGCATCATGCTCGCCATATCTATGTGAAAGAAATTTTTGAAGCGTATCTCCTCTGTTAAAAATATATATTTCATTTTATATACATTATATATTGTTATTGTAACATTGTTATGTGAAACAAAAAGACTAGAATAAAAAATTAAATTAAATTAATAAAATTATCTCTCTATAAAAATGAACAAACAACATACAAAGTATTACTGCTTTTAATGGCGTCCAATATCATTAGAAATTCAATTTTTGCAGCATCATACTATATGCTCATTTATACGGCAACGTCAGTTCTTCTATTGAGGTAAATGGGTATCGATGATTATCTTGCATTTGCTAGATGAACATCGATATTCGATTGAAGTACCACGTGCTCGATTAAATGTTAATTATATGTCGACATGTGACAACCATACGATGATAAAGTTTGAAAGCGGCGCATTATTTTCTGACGCATAAACATCAAAGCGAAAAAGCCATTTACTAAGATGAGATCGCACAACGTTCTTACTTACTTCAAGCAATGATTATTATCGTTCTTCGATGTGTATTAATTTGATTCTAAGACTCGAAAGTTGCGATTAAACTTCGCGCTATCGTTTTCGCGCTAACGACCGACTGTCAGAGATCTCTAGTGCGAGAAAGACGAGTGCTCGGGATGGCACCATAGATGTTACGCGACTACCATATTCACTATCCGGATTGTAAGTATGTCTTAGATCCTACGAAAGAAGAGAATGGCAAATCCCTTCTCCAGAAGATGATTTTCCCTCTCGTTTATGACTTCGTGTTCTATAGTGCGGTATAGGTCATTGGCAGATAGATTCATGGGAAATCGTGCATCTGCTTTGTAATGCATCGCGAATCCAGGAGCCCACAAGCAATGCGCATCGATTCTGTTCATACACAATTTTGCAATAAAAAAAGCGGCACATAAGCCTCTAGAATTTTTACTATTAAACCATGAAATTTTTTGTTATACCATTTTGTTACTAAAAAAACTGCAGTTACATTATATTCCATTTATAAAATATTTTATTTTCTAGTCTAAATTTTCTAATAGTTATTTGTTTGCGACACTAAGCAAATTGCACAAAAAATAAATTTTGTTCACAAAATTCATGTAAAGTTTATTGCGCACAAGTTTGGAAATAAAAATTGTTACGTTTTTTCTTGCTATTATATATTTAGTCAAATTTTAGAAAATTATTTGATTACAACTTTTTATTAAAAAATGTATCAATACGTCTATATTTTTTGTGGTAGATAGAATTGGTTTATTACTTTTCCTTTGTAATGTAGAATTTGTATGTCATCATATATAATTGTCGTGCATGTTGCAACGTAAAATTCTCGAACTTTATCTATATATATGTATATATATATGTGTGTGTATATATATATGTAACGCATTGTGAGAATAAAAAATTGTCCTACTGACTACGAACATTTTTAGTGGAAGGTGGTTCACTTTATAGCTTTAGCAAGCATGATAATTACGTTTTTACGAGGAGACACTGGTCGTTTATTTTTGTTATCGCACACAGTAAAACTCTCTCTTTGAACTTTACAACGTTGTAACAATGCGGATCTTACGTTTGTTTCTCGTAGTTCAATTGCTTTGCACGAAACGCAACAATTTTAAAACTGATTGAAAAAGCAATCATCTTGATAAAAATGTTAATGACGTTCGTTGAAATTATCATCTTTTAATTCTGCGATTTAAAATCATTTTTGATATGAAGTATTTCCTTGCGATTTGATTAGGGACAATTTAAACATAAACAAATAAATAGTTTTTATTTAATTTAATATATTGTTACAATCAATAAAAAGTGACAAAAGTTAATACTTAGGAAGTGTACATTGTGCTCTAAAATTTATGTAGATAGTGCATATAAAACTAATGTGTTAAATGTCTTAATTTTTTATATCTAAACTTAGCTGTTGAATTATAAGAACTAAATACACGATTGATTCATCTGACATTTTACAGATCTATGCTGATACTAGAAAACTTACGATTGCTGCGCGGCTGATCTTGCTGCTGAAGCATTCTGCGGTCTCGGAAGTCATGATAATAAGTAGAATTAGAATCCTTTCTGGTGTTGTCAAAAGTGTAATCGGGGGAAACGTAGACATAGGCATCGGGTTGATTCAGTTTCCATCGGGGTATCCGTAGCTGTCGATACCATCCGCTTTTCTCTACTTCGATGCTTCTCTTCTTTTTCGTCATAGCAAGTCTAGAGACGAGGCGAGGTCATAATATTGTGAATCGATTAGACAAAAACGGTAATTAAGCCGTCAGGAAAGTCGAGATCGCCGAGATGTAACCGCTTATCGGGCAGATAATCCTATTACAGTCACAGCCGGATTATAAACGTCGTTCTCGGAACATTGGGTAACACAGAAAAACTATATAATATAAGTTTCTATGTTAATCCGGTAAAAACATTTAATTGTTCTGCAAACGATTTGAAAAGTTTTACAAGCATGTGTAAACACAAAAAGCATCTTTTTATATTTGATATGGTATGTAGAAAAAACAACATCTTATATCAAAAGTTAATTTCTGTTTAAGTTTTATATATGTATATACATTATCTATAATATTAAAGCACAGAAATCTTTTACTTATGTCTTATAAAAAATACTTATTGCATACATATTACATATATATATATTTTATTTATTTTATTTATTGTTATTAAAAAAGACAAAATAACTGTCTAATTCAAAATTTCTCAAATCTGTACTTTCAATCTAAATGTTTTTAGAAATAATAAGACATACAAGAGTGGCGTAAGCTATAATTTTCGTAACCCTCATTTGTCCAACTGTTAGCGTATGCTTTTTCATTCAGCAAAACGTCGCGTTGTAGTAAGTAATTACGTCAATACCTTAACCACTTTTGTGGTTCCGTATGTAGGGTCGGTAAAAAACCTGTTGCTAGAACTACATTATATAATGTGCTACTATACGTAAAAGAACGCATAGAAAATTGAAAATTTACAATTATAAAAAAAGTATAATTTTGTGCAATATATAATTGCCCGAGAAACAACTTTAGAACTTCAAAAGATACATTTTTCATATTTTACTTTCTCTTTTACTTCTACTTAATATTTATATTACAATTTTTCACACTGATTTGAACACAAATATAAAAAAAAAATTTAATTAATATGTATTGCTGAAATTGAAAAACAGTTGATTAAATGCGACGAGGCACATTTCTTTAGCTACATTTCGCAATTCAAACTCACGGTCGTCAAAACATCTCGCGTATGCGTTCTTTCTCTCATTGGAACACGAGTAATAAGATCGAATTCTATGTTATATCTTTCTGAAACAGCACTTCGTTCCGCTGACTCGTTCAGCAAACGAAGCGGGACTTTCGATTTTAGCATAAATGCTAAACTTTCCATCGGAGATTAAAAATACTTTCCGCTTTCGCACTTACTTCCTCTTACGGCCGACTCCGAACATTTTATAAGCTGTATTAATATTCAAAATAATGAGACTGCACGCTTAACACATTATTAGATTCACAATTAACACATTATTAGATTCACAATCAACACGCAAATTTATGGTACTTTACATAAATAATGAAATATTCAGCAACGTTTATCGGCAATTATATATTAATTTTGTTATCGCGCACTATTATAATAAATCTATTATAACCAACAGATAAAGTGAATGAATTATTAGATATTATATCGTTTGTTTGTTTTTTTTTTTTTTTATTGTCAGATTGCAATATAATGCGCATGTCTAACAGATGAGTTAATGCCTTTACATATGAAGATGTTTATTACACTTTTCATTTTTAAGATAATATTGAAATAATATTGAAGATAATATTGTTGGTGCAACTTTGCGTATAAAGGTATAAACGCAGTACTTCAATTATTTGAAACACGCGATTACGTTAACGCGAGGAGCACCTTACTGTTGCTTCAACACTCGTGTGATACATACTGTAACTCTTTGCTCAAAGTTTCACTATTTGTGTGTGCCCTTTACCACAAACCCTCTCCACTTCTTCTGCTGTACCGTGATTCGGCGTTTCTGATTTAATATCTCAGCCAATCATCGACGAGGTATAGGAAACTCATACTGAAAACTCATAATTGCACAATCTATGTATTATACGTATTTTATACATGTAATGTATAGCATGTATATAAGAGTATTATAAAATGGTACGAAGATATCGCTAATTATGTAAAAAATAAATTTTCTGAAACAGCTTGTTCAGAAACAGATGATCAGAAATTTCTTTTTCACACACTGTACATTATCTTATTAACTGCAGTTGTGTTTTCACCTAATAAATTTGTATCTTTTGTTAAATCTCTGATATAATATTTCACGCACGTTGCATATAGACGCATGTTCTGCGTCTAAACAATTTTATTTCCTTTGTAAGTACTAACATCGTTTTGCAAACGCATTTTTACTTTAAATTTAAAACTGTACTTAGAGAAAACGCGAGTTTTGAAACTTTTATGTTATGTTATCTTGAAATTAAAACTTTATGTTCGTGCACAACAGCCATATGTTATGGTCTATTACACGTGCAAGTTTAAAAATGTTTGGCTTCCGCGAACTTATATTTTCTAATACTTTCCGTTCACTTTATGCAATGTATTTATTCGGATATTGCAATAAAAGTATTGATATTATGTTTATTTGCATATATTAAATTTATATTTTGCTAAACTGAATGTTTACTTTCAGGTTAGCAAAATATAGATTTTGCTAATAAAAACTTGATTTTTTAACAGGTTTTCTTTTCTTTTCAAAAAAATGATAATTATTTAAGAGGAAACTTGAATAAAGTAGATCACATATGCAGTTCTATTCTCTACATAGATATATATTCTCTACAGAGTTGAAAAAGTTGAAAATAATATTTAAAGTCAAATTCTATTAGTCAATTCTATTGGTAGTAATATTTATTAAATTACACACAACCAATTTCAAGAAAAAACATTTACATAAGTGATTTTAATAAAACAATAAAAAGATAATAAAATCCTAATATAGTTATAGTTTTTATGATACAACAAATGATATGCGTACGTATATGTTTATTAAATAATAATAGGATATATAGCGCACTAGAAATGTGTACATAGAATACAATATATAATATGAAATATAATACAAGTCTAAAATGTATGCGCAATTTAATGTTTTTTGTACATTATTGTCAATAAAAGTAAGAAAATATTTATTAGGAACGAGGTAAAATTAATCTTTTACTCAACAATGTTGATCATTTACACCGAATTACATATACTATATCAGAATAAATAATTGTACTTGTAGAAGCTAGACTTGGCACCACGAGCAAGTACGCTTGATACTACACCTTTTTCCCTAAATTGATAAATTCTATAAAATCTTCCAACAAAACATTTCAACAAAAAGTATCGTTTGTTTTTCAGATATCAAGAAAATTAAGGTACGCGTATTGCGCAAGTTGTTTTCTTTTTTTTTAATCGTGGTCGACAACGACTGTATACTCGATCGGTTTGTGATCATAATAACTCGACTTTACAATCCAGGGAAAAAAAAATGGTCGAGTAAAGAATTTCGGAAATGAATGAAATGATGACGATAGTGATGGTGAAGATTTATATTCCTCAAATAATTCCGGATATTCACGCCAATTGACGGACTTCACCGCATGAAAACGCGAATCGTCGAACTCCCCGTGGTGCCACAATTTTCACTTGGAAAAAAGCGGCCTTTCGTAATCGTGATTGTGAAGACGCCCCGCACCGTTACACTTAGTTCCACGGATCAACTCATCTACATAACCAGCCTGTATCCGAAAGTTTGTCTCGTTTGAATTCATGGTTGCGGTCATAAACTTCTGAAACGATGATGTAAGAACCCACATTTCTTGGCGACCATTTTTAGTAGTAATAATCTGCAACAAAATTACTTTATTGATTACTTAAATTAGGAAGAAAATCTCAAGACAAAAAATAAAAATATTTAAATAATGTTTAATAAAATGTATATCTTTCTATATCTTGTTTCATATAAATATAAAAACTGCAGTTTATTATATCTGCAGAAAATTGTAAACTATTTTTATTATAGAACTTTAGTTAATATTTTCGTGGTCTTTTGTTATTTGTGCATTGAACAGTATATCGCGATTTTTTACATTTTTTTACATTTACTATATATTCTCTTGTCTAATATCTATATTATTAAAAAATTATGTTAAGATAACTGACTACCTTTAATCCAGACGGAAACTGTAAAGTATCGGGATTAATAACCATGACTTCGGTGTTGGTGCCACCATATTCGGGGTAACTTATGCTATTCCAACATCCGATAGCTAGATCTGATAAAAGACCAAAGAAGAGAACCCCATTCTGATCCATAGCTTGAGCGGCTGATTGTGACGACCTTTCCATAGCGAACGATCGGAACGACCTTGGTGCAGCATCAGAGTGATCTCGAAAGAGGCTGTAGTTCCTGGATAATAATGAACATTTCGTTACAATGTGTACACACATATATGTATATATATATATATGGGTGATTCTCTGTGAACGAGTAAATTTCAACTTTCAGTTTTGATAAAAAATTATTATTAAACTAACGGAAAGCGATGAATTATGTTTTTTCATACCATTTTAAGTCACTATTCGTAATATGAATACGTAACTATGCAATATAAAAAACTTATCTATGTTTTTTATGTCAATATACCACGGAGATTACAAAATTAATTATTTTTAAATTATTTTATACAATAAGTAACATTTAAAATAAATGCACTTACCTATAAATAGATTGATAAAGAACTTGTAATTTAAGCCCAGAAACGAACTTTTAGTAATAACTTGTTCAGGAGACAAGTGACACACGAAGTTTTTAATACCTTAATGTACGCGATATACATCGTTAGTCAAAATACTTGGTATTGTGAACATGCGTGTAGTTTGACCTCTGAGCGAAAGCGTGTTCGTAATAGTATGTTTAGAAACCGTACATGCAGTCGTCGAGCATTCCGACGTTGACAAGGTCGACTTATTTATTTAGATATACAATTTATCGAAAATTAAGAGACATAATTTAATACTTTGTTACATCGAGCCGTATGCGATATGTTACTCTTTTTCCACGTAATATATTACTTATTTTAGTATACGTAAAATTATGACTGCACAGAACTAATAACGATTTTAATAAATAATTTTAAAAAGGCGGAAATATATGCAGTTCTTGCATGGGGACATCCACGGAGATTACAATTTAATGCTGAACTTGTACAAAACTACTTATGTAATGATTTTTAAAGCCTTTTATAGTTAAATAGTGTAAAAAAGAATATTCTCGTTCTCTCTCTAATAGAGCCGGTCAGAAAATAAATTGTATTATACAAATTGTATTATACAAAAATAAAAATTGTATTATAAAATTGTAATTGTAAAATTGTATTATACAAAAAAGTTATTTTGAAGGGACACAAATATGGATGTTTTTTGAGAATCACCCATATATATATATATATATATGTACACATACACACCCTCTTCTTGGCCATATAGGCTGAAGTGTCTAAATAAATATATATATATATATGTACACATACACACAAACTATTTAAATATTATTTATTTCATTATATCTATCGTATTCTGTCTGCTAGTATGAGAATCTTTTCTTATTAATAAATGCGGTCAAAAATACTCTATATTGTGCATATAAAAAAATTTGAAAACACACAAAGACTAGTATTTTTACTTTTCAACTTTTTAACTATGTGATAAACAACTAATTAACTTTCTGATAAACATATAGCCGCCTATCTTCTTACCTAATGATAGACGTGGGAACCCAACTTTCGACTCTGCTAGCCAAAGAATGGAAATACAAGATTCTGTCACCGTCCTGTTTCAAGGGACTCAGAGCGAGTCCCAGAATACCATCCATTAGATCAAATGTATCTCCATTAATATGAAAGGTCCCATAAGAGGGATAGGGATAAAACAGATTATTGGTGATCCGCCAGGAGCGGGAATTGCGATGATCGTACACGAGCAGTCCAAATCTGGTCACGTCCGCGATATAGACAAACGTATCGTGACATTTATCGTCAACATCGCGAATGTCGACCGCAAGCGTAACAAACAAGGAATCATCTTTAAATTGCTCTCCGGGAAATTTGTACTGACTCAGCACCTTATTCGTACGCAGTGAGAACGACAGCAATTGCGGACGACAGATCTGCCGATCTTCAAGCTTACCTGTGTCAAGAACCCATAATCGGTCGCACGAATCCACCTGTGACCATATTTATCCTATAGTTAATATTTTTTAATATCTTTGCTTAAAAAAATAAAGAATATTAGATAAATCTATATACATGTATATATACAGGGTGTCCGAGAATTACTTTAGCATCTCTCGTAGGCAGGTAGAAGGAGTAAAACTGAGTCAAAAAGTTCTGAACCATTTTTTTAATTACATATAATAGAGGATTAAATAATATAATTATTGAATAAATTAAGTCAATCAGCGCCGACCTTTAGCCAGGCACATGTCAGTGAACCACGCTTGTGTGCGTGAGCGCTCCGCGCGGCTCACTGACATGCGCCCGGCTAAAGGTCAGCGCTGATTGGCTTGATTTATTCAATAATTATTTTTTTGTTTTATGTAATAAAAAAATAGTTCAGTACTTTTCGACTAAGTTTTACTCTTTCTACCTGCCTACGAGAGATGCTAAAGTAATTGTCAAACACCCTGTACATATATTGTATATTATATATTATATATTATATATATTATAAAAATCGACTTAAAATTAACTTTCTATGACACAATAATAAAATAAATGTTAATAAAAATAGTTCAAAATTTTAACACAATATAATTATCTAATTCCTAAATGCACAATAGTTTATACTTAATTCATTATGTTATCATGTATATAATTTACTGTAAACAAATATTAATACATTTTATGTTATGAAATTCGAAAGAATGATAGAAAACTCGACAATAAATAAAAAACATCAAAAAAAAAAAAATTGATTTTATTTTTTTAAATCTTTATTATCAAAAAATATCAACAAAATATTTTGGGTCGTAAATAATGATAATTAAGTCATGTTTAAAAGTGTAAAACAGCACTATCAAAAAGCACGCTCTCTCACAGTATCGTGGTCAATATGCTAATAAGTACGATAATTTATATCGTATTATTTATAAGAAACTTCTTGTGTATACAACATTCAAATCTTTATTTGTATTTTAGGTGTAATAATGAATACATTATTTCCATACAAGCATATTGTATCATCACCCAAGATACGTCTTTGAATAAATAGATGTAAATTCCGATAATAAAATAAATTTTTAAGTTTATAATACTTGTAAATCCAGTTGTATCGTATGTACGTATTGTTTTGTGATTCAATGATCGTGTGTTCAGATTGTATTGCTTATAAATTAGCAATTTAAAAGTTTTTGTCGTTACCTGCATTCTGAATACACTGGTGATCGCGTCACAGTGTCCTAATCTGTTCCAATCCCAGTTCGGATAAGGTGCAATTAGTGGATTTCCGTCAGCAGAAACGTTGTCTGTGACGTAACCGAGAGTGACCGGAACACCATTTTGAATTCTTGGTATCGACACGAAAACTACAGACCCTTGTTTAGCTGCGCATACATTAAATTGATTTTATTCAGTGTTAAGCAAGAAAACGAACGTTAAGAAAGCAAACGGAACTTAATCAAATTTGTGAAACAATTTTGATTGAAAAATTTCTAAAGAAAAAAAATCATAATATAGAAAACACAGTATGAAGATAAACTATGTAAGAATGATGTAACTAAAGCGAAACACCGAAGAAATTATGCAAAAATGTCTTATCGCAAAAAATCTTTATTACTTAAGAAGTTTCATTATTCAAAGTACATAAATAATAAAGAAACTTGAAACAATCTAGCGTGAACTATTAGATCATGATCGAATCTACCATCGGAAAATTATGCAAATCAATAATCTTCAAATCAATCTCTGTCAATCATTATTTCAATTTTATTTCAATAAATAAGATAGTATGTGTGAAAACAACGAGAAAATTAATAATATTTTTTACAAATTATATGTTTATATTCATAAAAATTGTGTATCAGAAAGCAATAAAATCACAAAATATATAACTGTATAAGTAAACTATAAACATTAAAACATATTTTTAATAATAAGAGTGAATACATAAAATGTTATTTAATATACGATCTCAATATTTTGATAGTACATAGTAGGCGTCTGAGATCATAAAGAATAAAAAAACTTTGTTTACAACCTCTGTGATGAAAATCTACGTCAATTGGCACTGGTACTCCAGGAATAAAATGACCTTCTCGTATAGCTTGTTCTCTCGTATGCTCATTTGAGAAAGCAAACTCCAAAGTCTTCCACGAATATATGCCCTTTAATTTTTCAATGCTCACGCATTCTGCCAGAAGCAAGAACGGTATAATAATTCGTAATAATAAGACCGGTTCGGATTTCATCGTGAATCTGCAACAAGGTGCATCATAGCTACTCAAAATACAAAGAAACGAAAAAGAATAACATCTCTCATTTATTTATAATATTTCTTTCATATAGGTTTTTTTGTAAAATTATGAAACATGTTTTATAATAAGCTGCAGATATTTTTTGTATTTCAAAGAAGCAAAATAATTAGGAATTTATTTTAACTTGTTAAAACATTAAAGTATTTACATAAAATCAATCAGTACATCAATGCACACTTTTGAATTGAGATGTAATCAACAAGAATTTAATATCATATGTATGTTATATTTATATGCGTTCTACATACGATTTCTGTCGATGTTATAAATTAGTTAAAACGCTATACTTTCTAGCCTTATAGACACTTTCACTGTAGAAATTGCATAATAAAATTTAATAGAGAAAATGTAGATAAAATCTGCAAACTACATATACTGTTACAACTTTTAGTCATGTGAAAACGTTAGCAAAAAACTTGTTCGCACTGAATGCTATATATAAATTGAATCAATATTTGGTGAATATGTTTTGCGCAGTAAGTATAGACTTTTTTTTGTAAAAAACATGATATGATAAAATCTTTAGCTGATATATTTGTTTTATCTAAATAATATAAACATATTTTATGTGTTACTGAAAAGTGATAGTAAAATAATGTACAAATATACAAACTTGATGTAAATATTAATGCCAATTACACAAAGTTTAGCAAAAAAGGGACATTTTTTACAAAATATATAACTTTTAAATATCTATTTAATAATATATAATTTCTGTAAATATAGCGTTAAATTATAATTAATTATAATTAGATCATAATTAGATTAAATTATAATTAGATTAGCAGATAAAAGATGCAGAAAAATAGTTTTTAAAAATTACGATGTTTTTACATCAAATTCTTACGTATCTGTTTACAACCTCGAGTCTTTCAATAGTCATATTTATTACCTCTCTTTTTAGGTGATGCGGATTTTCCTTTAAGTTATCAGTAACTTTTGCACTTTAATATCGCGTGACATTCAATAATGGTACGAACAACAATGCAAATTTCTTACAGTAAATTCGACAACGGAGCACTGACTTGCGTCTCGACGTTCTTCTTACTCGTTCTTTCGTAAATACGAGTAGGTATCGTTAAAGAGGCAGCACTGATCTTTTTTTCTTTCCTCACCGCTTTCACTGTCACGAAAAGTTCGATTGTGCTCGCTAGCGTTAACGATTAATATACAAAATTACTTAGACGTTTTTCTCCTCGCATCTTATTCTTTTTTTTTTTTTTAACTTTGAACAATTCTAGTCCTCGTAAAATAATCAGATCGCAATCTTCTTTTATGTTATCTTCTATTGATTTTTTGTGACGACGATGAGTTCGTCTGCTTTTCTCTGTCTTATCGTAAATCTTTTTACTTTTGAAAAGACGCTTTTAATATATTTGTACTGTGTACACTGTCAAAAACTTGGACGAATAAAACAAGTCTTGGTCTTTCTGATGCTTTTATTTTCTAAAGCCGGTTATTCAACGTAGATGATAATTCGGAAAAACAACAGGTTTTCTACTTGCACGCTCCGGACTAGCGGACAACTGAGAAACGACTGCGAGATTTCTCAAGCTGGCGCCAACTTTTCAACGTATTCGAACATCTCCATTCTACCGGAACAGAAGAGAGGTGGGTTACTGTCTACACATCTCTCTCGCCAGAGATAAGATTGCCGTTCGGGGTCAGTGCGCAAGCTAAATGTACGCAAGTGTTTCTGCTAAATGTACGCAAGTGTTTCTGCTTTTTTTCTCTTTAGTTTTCGTTTTGCATACATTACATTACGAGCGGAAAAATCAACAAACCAGTAAAGTCTCAGCTAGTTTTTAGAGACAAGATAAAGTGAAATATGCAATTGTAATATCACCACGACGCAATGGCTATTTATTCACCGGATACAAAACAAGAGTTATAATGTCATGCAATATATTTTAAATAAAATCTAGAAGCTTTATTTTATTAATTGAAAAATAAAATAATTTTTAAATTTATTTGCTTACTGTTACGCATGGTACTACCATTGCTAGTTTAGAAAAATTATATTTATATTAATTATATTTTTATAATTATATTAATTCTATTTTTATATCTATATTTTTTTAAACACACAGAACTTTCAGTTTATATTATTGCTTTAATTATCAGTTTTGTTTTATTTTGTAATATCACCACAGTCCCAATAATCTAATAGATTCTGTCAAAAGAACGATGAGGCAAATAAGATGATGTCATCTAAGTAATGGATAATATTCTGCGTATATGTTTTTCCCCGAGAGGTGACTTGTTAACTTTTTCGGAATTATTAGAAACATATGTAAAGAAGATCTTATATCTTAAAAAAACATAATATACAACATATATAACACGACGCAAAATATATAACATGTATGTATGTATATTTTGCGTCGATCGTTGACATTCAACTCATTTGTCATATTATGGAAGATTCTACCGCTTAAGTTTGATATGCTGATCATTCGCTATATTTTAAATATTTCTTAAAGCACTTACTCATTATTATAAAAAAATTGTATATTTAAAAACTTATTACAAAATTTTGCAACGCGATGCACACTCACAAAAGCGTTTTAAGCAACGATATATGTACATTTTATAGACTAAGAGTTTTTTCATATTTTATTATAGCTCTTTTATAGCTAAAACGGATAAAAGATCTATTGTTTTAGACAATTTTTTTAGTAGATTATTTGAATGATTACTAAACGCGAAAATGCGAATAAAAGTTATATATAATATGTATGGTAAAATAAAAGTAAAAATGGTTTTTATTTTTACATAGGTTTTTATTTTCAGCTTTTAATATATGTTTAATTTTTTACATATATACTTTTTATTTATATACAAACAAATTTATAACTTTCTTATACATTTTATATGTGTGTGTATCTAATAATATTACTAGATAAATCCTATTACAAAATATTACAAAACATTGCACATCTGTTGCAAATGTAAATTATTAAACATTTTGGGCTTATGAGTTACATAAACTGTAAAAGAATGCAAATGTCGTTATTACGAAAGAATTTGCAAACTCAGCAATACTAAGTAAACCATAAGTTTTTGAGAACATTTAATTTTACAGCAAAGAATAGATTATTTTTTATTATTAAAATTTAAAATCAATCTAACTCAGGTTAAAAATATTTACATATTACTAACAGATCGTTATATATATGTATATACATATATATGTAGATGTATATTCTAACTTTGATACTTTTCGAAAAGGTAAAAAACAGGTAAAAAACTAACTTTATATACGAATATATATATATATATATATATATATATATATTTTATTATATTTTTATATTTATTATTTTTATAATTAGAAGTCTTTTATAGTAAGTTTTTACATTGAATTCTTAAAGTTTACAATACAATATCAAAAACTATATAAATTACACTTTATAAAAATAAAAATATTTATGAAAGATCTTATACACACACACAAAATACTTTTTTTGTTACAAAATGTATGTATATCTTTTTTTTCTACGTATCTATAACAAAATTTGTCTTTTTAAGTGTAAACTGTTTTATCTAAAATTTTTCGCAATATTGTCAGATACGATTGTTTGCAATTTCTTCAACTGATAGATTTTAATTAGCTCTTTTTTCAGTATCTCAGAGTATTATTGTAAAAATTCAAGGAATAGTATCGATCTACTTGCTGCTGAAAAGCTCGAGTCGTTTTAATCCTCATAATTCGAATGTTAATCTGATTTCTATCAATTTGTCTCAGAAAGAACTTGTGGAATCTGGATGACATTATCCAAAAATTGCCATTATCGCGACTTGCATATACAATTTCGGCAATGAATTGTAACTCTTCTGGGCTGTAAACAAGTATGCTAAAAAAAACAAAATTATATAAAGTCACATAATTAGTTATACAATTAAATATTAATATAGTATTATATCACTAAAACATACAAAAGCATGTAAAATATTTTAGTTAATAATATTTATAAGATAAATAATTACACAAATAATGAAATTAAATAAATTTTAATAAAATACTTTAGTAAAATAACTAAACTAATGTGTAAAATACTTCTTGATAAAACATTTTAAGTCAAAAGAAAAGTCTTCAAGTAAAAAAAACCATTAACAGTCACAGTTTTGGAATTTCCTTATGGAAATTCCTAACTATTTTATTCTCTATTCTATTGCATTTATTGCTAATAGTAAGAAGCTCTTTGCTATCATTTCAGTTAGATTTTTATAAAAAAATTGTATCCTTTACTTTTACACTTATATTCCATTATAAATTCTTTATACAATTATTAATGTAAGATGTAATATATCTCAAAAAGTCAAATCAGAAAACTTCAAAACTTAGATTTCTATCAGACATAATATTAACATTATTATTATTATTAAAATTAATGTTATATTTATTTTTTAGATATTGAATTATTTTCGAGAAAATAAAAAACTATTTTGTGTTCCAGATTTTATACCTTTGTTGATTTGTCTGCGGTTGCCATGATGCAACCGCGGTTTCGGTAAACGGAGCGAACAGGATCGTATCGTCCCAAGGATCCACGGCCAACGACAGACCTTGACTCGACTTTCTGCCAACCACGGTCACAGGTAACTGTTGACCCAGAGCAAGCGGTCCGGCTTGCAATGCCGAAGTGGGCACGCTGAAGATTCGATCGGTCGCCAGAGGTTGAAAATAAACTGTTTGGAATCTCGGTGAAAATGCAATGCCCACAACTCCATCCAAGAATTCAAAAGTTACACTTCCGATCTAGAAAAGTTTTTAATTCAAACACAGTCAATTTCTCTTCATTTTAATAATGTTTTCCTATCGCAGTCATTAAATATAATGTAAAAAAATCTATCTTAGCCCAACAAAAAAATAACACCTCTCTCTCTCTCTCTCATAAAAAACTCACATTTATAATTCAACACATTTGTGATTTCAATCATTTTGCTGCGTACCTAAATATCTTCTACAAGCAAGAAATAAGATCGTGTAGATAGAATCGCATTGAATTCGTAACATTGTGTGTATTTATAATTCTTGATTAGATAGTACATTGCTTCTGTATTACATATACACGCCTTATTAAGAGTTTCTATCTTAATAAAACAAAAACAAAAAATAATGCAAAAATTAATGTTCTTTAAATTAAAGAATAACAATAAAAGAAAAGAATAAATTTGATGTACGTAAGTTATACATTTACACAATCTATTTGTTTCTTATATTATTTGTGTCTCTCTTTTATTTATTTAAATAATAGAATTTATTTATTTAAATAATAAAATAAACATTAAGTGAAACACAGTGTACAAAAATATTACAATCTATCAAATTATTATACTTATCTCTAAGAAATTAACTAAATTATTAAATAAACTAAATAAATCTATACACACAATTATTAAATATTAATTACACATTAAAATCAAAAGAATTATTTTCTAGATCATTCACTTGGCATTCACTGTGCTTCGACACAAAATATTATGATCTTACCTTATACATTGCTTGATCTGGATTCGGATACATAGATGAGTGAACAACACGCCAACTTCTATTTCTATTACCATCAAAAACAAGGATTCCTGAGAATAAATTACAACTTTTATTTTGATATTTCTTTCAGAAAAATCAATATTTACATATCGTTTTTGTATTAAACAAAATTTCTAATTAGTCACTACAAAAAAGTACATTTAACAAAAAAATTAAAAATATCATATTTGTTAGTCTGATTCATCTAAATTCTTTAAATCACATATGTATTTTCAGACTCAAAAGAGATGTTAAATCTTTTCGTAACCTACTCTTTACATAATTACATCTTAATAACACAAGAAGAAGCATTCGCACAAAATAACACATCTGTATTTATTACGTAACTTATATCTCTTAGAAAATAACAAATCATATTAATAAAATAAAAAACAATAATTGTAATAAGATAAAATAATATCTTGATTTTTTATTTGTACAACCTGGGCCAAGTGTATCGGTCATGTACAGAAATACATCATCGCATGTTTTTGCTGAAGATTCGTCAATGATAACGTTAGTTAGCAAAGTATTCGGTCGGAGCACCTAAAATATAGAACATATAATAATACTTTTTTTTTTATAAAAAAAAGTAGTTACTTTTTTTATGTAACTTTGTGCAAAATTATTTTAAATGTAACTTGTTTTAAAACAGAATCTATATCTATAAATAATTTTTCACTCTGTGTTTATAGTCTGCATCAGACAAAGTAACAATATCGGTTTTTTTATAGCTGTAGTTCTAAATTAAAATTGTAACTAGTCATTCACATACGATTTTGTAATCATTTCTGTTTACTTTTCAAAAGTAAATTTTTAACGACACATTCTTTCCATGTTTAAAGTAAACAGCACATTAGGTTATTTAAATATCGAGTGATACACGGTAGAGAATATAATGTTTAATATTCTCATTTTTATACAAAATTATTTAATGATAAAGATTTTTAGTTGGCCAATGTAAGTCAAAATGTGTGCAAGATATTTATATTAATCTTCTAAATAATTTTGTTTAGAAGAGATAATTTTATTTTTCATTTTTTTCAAATCTTTTTAGCTTCTATATAATTATTTTTTTTTTCTGAACGCGAATATTCATAAGTTAATTCTTCTTGTTATCATAACAAGATGATTTTCAGCTCACCTCACGTGGAAAAGTAATGTGACGAACCACCTGATCAGTTTTCAAATCGAAAACTACAAGTTTCGGCGAGCAAACTGGCATAAAATCATCGATTGATGTCATAACACCTGCGTCAACAACCCACAATCTGTCACATCTATCTAATCTAGTCCGATATACTGAAATCAATTTGGTACAATTAATTTCTCCTTTTCCAGCATTATGCCAGTCCCACGAAGGATATGCTTGAAGCTGTGGATTGCTTCCCAATGGCACCTTCCGAGGGATAAAGCTCAATGTAGCTGGCACACCAGCACGCAATCGTGGCGTGCTGATAAAGATTCTGTTCCAAGCTATCTCGATGCCAGTCATTACTATATTTTCTGGTTGATATCGATTGATAAAACCGCGATCATGCGGTAGCGCAAAGTCAAGCAGCTGCCATTGTGCTATAGTTTCTAAAGTTTGCGCCTTTGTCTTGATGCACAGAATCAACAAAATCGTCGTCGAAAGCACGATGTATCTAACAAAAATCAAAGATTAAAAAATGAGCATTCAATTTAAGATTTATTGTTTAAAGTATTTTGCACTAAATAATATGTATGCATGTATGTGCGTGCACGTGTGTGTGTATTTATATTTATACATTTTTATATTTATAGACAATAGAGCTTTGTTTTCTAGACACAATATGAAAATATGTTATATGAAATCTAAATTGTTTTTTATTATGCTTGAAGCGTCTCCTATTTGTTACTTACTTCATATTTCGCGAAGTAATAGCTAAACTATAATAGATTAAAGATTCACACACACTGCTCTGATAGTACGTTCCGAAAAATTAGAGAAATAACAATAGATCTCGCGAACCGGATAAAGCCGCACTGTTAATTCTCAGTAAACTACTGAGTAATGCATTACTGACTCTTATTGTCAGTAAACTACAAATATACCGAGCGTGTACCACAAGTCCTACCGACTGAACAACAACTGAACAAATTTTCTAGTACGACCTGTTGGAGAACTTGGTTGGTTCCTTATAAGAGACAGGACACTACGTGAATGCATTGTGTAACGAAATGCATGTGTACTTTTACTCGTACGCACAGTCTCTCTATCCAGAGGCACACCTATATATCGTTTGTCCATGAGAAAACATTCGAATCTAACAAACACAAATAGCAAAAATCAGAATCGCGCCAATCTTGTTTTCAAGAGGTCGGGAAGAAAGTCGCGCTGACTGATTTAACATTCGCTTCCTCACATTTTTCTAGCTTTTGTAGGTTGAAAAGAAGTAAAATTATATACCTATAGCACTGTATTGTAGATATTGGAACTGATAAAAATTTCTGGCAATAAGAATGTTAAATTCTGCAATAAGCAATGGAAAAAAATTAATTAATAATTAATAATAGAATAATACTGTTGTAATTATACTAAATTCTTTTAGTAATTTCCAATATTGTTTTTATCGGCTCTCTTTTATGTATCACAATTGAATAATATAAGTATTTAAAGTTTTCGATAATTATCTGTAGAAATGAGTCTCGAACGGAAATGTATATTATATATAGCTCAATGATATTCAAAGAAAAAGTAATTTAACTAGAATTATATTTGATCGTGTTGCAATATGAAATTGTACAACATTGATCAAACATGCGTGACACGCAATAAGTCACGCGTTATATGATCTTATAATAGTGCTTTGTTGTGTGCATTACGTTGACATTTACATGTTATTAAAAAGAAATTAAATAAGATTCATATCACACAACATACACGTTGACTCTTTTGTATACATACCTATATGTATATATATATATATATATATATATATATCGTCATTTTTTTAAATAATATGTTAAATTAAAAAATAAGAGAATATTAAATTCTCCATAAATGTTTAAAGACTTATACCAAAATGAGTGTACATTATTGTTCTGTTACATCACATACGCGAAGTTTTACTTGAACCTTATAAAGAGTCGATGATCGCCTTCACTGCTAATAAATTGTTATATTACGAAACGCTGTAAAAAAATCGGGCTTAAATGGTACTTGTGCTCGAGCTATAGAACTATAACGGTTACATAAACGTCCTTGGCTAGTCTCGATCGAAAGTACTCGTAACTAAAAAAGACCACGCCCATTATTACTGATATAATTTATGTTTTGGACGCATAGGTGTAACAAGGAGAAACGTGATGAACTGCCCTGATCATAGCCATTATTTTGTAATTTTTCTCCCGATATTTATTTTTGTTCATTCTACTGCTACGTTTGCTATGAAAATAAGCACGTATATATGTGCAATAGAATTGCAAAATATTGTACACACACTTTTGTGAGATTTTTAGAAGTAACATTTAACTTTTAAGAAAATAAAGAAAATACGTAAGTAAAAGTAGAATTGTTACAGCGGAATGTATTTTGTTCGAAATCTTTTCATTCTCAATTAGTATTTTGTTTACTTACAAAAGATGTCAAAAAATATTTGAAGATCATTTTCTTATATTCCACAGCAATTTAATTAGGATTTTTTCTAGATATAATATATATTGCATTCTATGTACATTACATTTGAATTCTGCTGCTATATCTGACCAATAAATCACTTTCTCTCTACAAAATAGAACTCTTGTGTCTGCATGCCTACCTAGCCTATTCTTCGTAGTCTTTGAAGCATTTGTAAACCGCATGTCGAGTATGTAAAAGCAAATCGTAATATATTTTGTATATTTTACAAGAAGTTATGAGTTTTTTTCAAAGATTATCGTCTATCTCTGTGTATGTGATATAAATTGTTGTGTAATATATATTATAAAACTATTTTATTATAAATTTAACAATATATTAAAAAGAATAAATTTTATATACTAGTTTGTAAAAATAGAAATACAGTTAGGATAAAAAGTATTAAAAATGACATTTTTTATATAAACCGCAAATATACTTATTATTAAAAAAATTACATAAACGTTTACTATAAAACAATAATGCACTTACACCTTCATTTTTCGTCTTGTGTTAGAACGTTCAAATTATTTGCAGTGCCACAAATTACTGATTAAGAAGTTGACTAATGTGATATCTTTCATCGACAATATGTTTAAGTTAACGTAACTGCTTGTCAGCGTGAGATATCGAAAAGAAAATGTTAGGGAAATAAGATAATTACTGCGAGTTTATATCCCAGATTACAACGTTTGTCACGGAGAAATATTTTCAATATTGTTCAAGATTGTATGTGAAACACTATGGGAAATACCGTTGAATGATCACGACTGCCCTCCATTTTCATGTTGAAACAAAAGTGACTTACTTCGATTTGCATAGACAACTCGATGTAAACTATCAAAAGCGTATAAATTAGAATAACATTCCTCTCATTTGCTTAACAGTGAATTATGCAATGTAATAAAGTCGCAAATGTGAATATCTATGTAAAATTAAGCAAAGCGGAAATAAATTGCAAAAATATTTGTATACTCTCAATACTCTCAACTAGTTAGTAAAGTAATTGCAATAACACATGTACGCATACTTTCACTGCATGTAAAATCGAAAAACAAGACATTAGATTTGAATAACTTTATTTGTTTAGATTGTGTAAGTAAAAAACATCTGTGATTCTCTTTTCACTGTTCTGAGCACTTCCTGAGCGCGAGTACATTATCGTACAATTGATTATTTATAATTGCAAGACTCATTTTAGCTTATTCTGACGTTTGACACACTTTTCACACAATATCGTTGTCGAATAAAATTAATGTATTTTATTGTTAATGTTAACGGTTCGTGTTCATTGAACTGCAAACGTTACGGTTTGTGTAAATCTTCTGATTTTCTAACAAAAACAAATTCCAACACAGTTGGTCTATTGTGATATAAATGATTTAAAGAACAACATCTATACAAATTTGTTGTTGTTGTTGTTGTTGTTGTTGTTGTTATTATTATTTGAAGTCAATATGTTTTAATATAAATTACATAATTAGAATCCATATATTCAGAATAAAAAAATAAGGTAATTATGCAGTTATACGGACTATTTTCCGATCTCAACAATTTTGACATATGTTATCAAGGTCACCTCTCTGAATAATAATATGAAGGTTTTATCCGTCGCTCATTGTTTATAAAAAAGTTATGAACAAAAAAAGTTTGATGATTGAACTCTCGTTTTAAATAT